CTTACATGACCTTTTACCTGGTATCCATTTAAGGCTAGGTCGACCCGGGAGGCACGATCATTACTGAAAAAAAGTATGCCTTCTTTCGAATCTGAACCCATACCCTTCGGATCCGCAGACAAGCGTCCAGGCGCTACGCCTTGGCGGCTCTCATATATGATACAAATAAAGTTATCTGCGTATCCTAGAACCAACCCCTACATTTGTGTGTGTGTGGCTGTTATGGTTTTTCTAGACACATTTTTACGTTCAGTAGTTTGCCATTGCCCACGGAACGGTCCTCTCTCGCTACCTGTGTCCAAACCAGCGCAAGTTGATCTGCTGCCAAATCGTCTGCAGCTGGGATCGTACAGAGAACCCCTTTATTACATAGCGCGTTCGTAACGCCTAAACCACAGACACCGGATATAGATTATAAATCTGATGTTTTAAAGACAAGATAAAGTCTATCACAGTACTCGATAGATTTATGAAACAGTGAAAAATTACAAGTCTTAGCAAATTCAGCAGAAATACCTACCAGCTACCATTCCAACAAGAAACTAGAATCAAACAAATTATGGGATGGTGAGATAGGTCCACTTCACACCATCCTTTTCCGAGACAAAAGTACTGTTGGTTCACAGCACCGTGGGCCATTCTACGACTTTTAAATACAACAAAAGAAGGACAAGCAGTCACGATGAGAGACGGTCCCAGTCAACGCTACATCTGTTGATTTTGTATATGATAAATATTGGCAATTGTATCATTGATCTGTCTGTCCCTATCACACAGACAATCGACATAATGTAGACACTGGACACTAGTCGAGTCTTCCATTGATCTCACGGATCCCTTCGATGATTCATCTTTGGCTACGACGCCTTGTTGCCGAGAAATAAGTAGAACCAAGTGGAGGTAATCCGTTTGAAAAAACTGGATAGTATTCTCTCCCCTTGTTTATGCAAAAATGTGAAGCACATACTAAAAAAGTTGGTAATCTTCTTTATCACTCATGATGTAATAAACTTAACAAGATTGCTTGTTGTAACGATTCTGATTAGGCAGATGGTGGTTGGACATTGTTATCTCCTTTCTGGTGGAGTTTAAAAGTTAGGGACGGGGAGGGGGGCAGGCTCCCAGCACAAGCACAGAGTTTCTAGTAGTACATGCCTTGGGACGTAGGTAATCATGCCTATATTCAACCTCCTGCCTCCTGTACTTTCAGTCACGTCTGACACAGATGATCGTCCATGCATCTTCACTCTCGGTCTCCCTGTGCTTCTTGTTCCCTCTAACTTTGCCAAGGTGACGGTGCAGTCCGGTCTTCTCCTTCTGACAACATGACCAAGGATGGCAGATTGTTATTAGCACGGATACCCCAGCTGGAAACTGACTGTAGGGCACCGCAAATGTCTAGAGTCAAGCCTGCGCCTGGTGGGAGCTCTTTAATGACCCCAGCTCTCGGGGGTCGACCCCAGCCTTACACCCGTTTAACTAGCCCTTGCTAATTTCCAGAAAGTTCTGCAGATTTTACAAATAACTGATCCAAATGAGAGACAAGGCAGTCCTACCTCTATACGGTGACCTAGCATGTGTGATTGACTAGATCTAAGGCACTATATGTAATGAGAATATATGTACCCTTAGGTCATTTACCAGCCGCCAAGGTGTAGCTGCTAGACGCTCTCCTTGTGATCAGACGTAGTGGGTTTGGATCCTGACGAGACCGGGCCTACTTCAAAAACGACCTTGACTTGAGTGAGTACTAGGTGCAGTCCTGGGAAATAAAGGCGGCCGGTGGGGTTGTGCGTCTATGGGTCTATAAAATATAGGACTAGCCCTATATGCCCAATACGCCTGAAGGCCTGAATAAGGGTCTTTTACTTTAAAAAAAAACTTTAATTTCAGTTATTTATGCTACACCAGCAACAACCAGTGGGGATTACTTCAAACGGTTATACACTGACATGTTGTCTCGTACATATTTCTCCATGTCTCTCTCTCTCTATCTTTCTGTCTCTCTCTCTCTCTCTCTCTCTCTCTCTCTCTCGCTCTCTGTTTCAGGTGTACACACTTAAAGTCACATACACAGCACACATGCATAGAGAGACAGAGACAGAGAGACATACACACATGCAGAGAGAGCGACAGACAGAGACAGAGAGAGAGAGAGAGAGAGAGAGAGAGAGAGAGAGAGAGAGAGAGAGAGAGAGAGAGCGCATCCTACAATTAATTACAACCGAAGTTAACTGATGCAGAAATACTCCAAGTCTGGGAAACTACAAATATTTTCTCACTGAAGCCACTTGGTTCCCATAGATGACCCGTCCTGCCCCTTCTGCTCCACATCCTCACCTCCCATTGAACCCACACGACAACTTGTCCTCAGTCTGCACGATCCACTGTGAACATTGATCATCTTCCTCTGAATGAAAGCTAACTTCGTGTTTTCATTAAAATATTCCAGATTATCCGCAACAAAGGTATCTTTGCTCCGGCCCAATTTCTGTTTTCTTCAGTAAAAGTCTGTTTTTCAAAAATATTTAACACAAACAAACCGGTTGCCAGTTTGTAAACGGTCCAGGCAACTTTTCAAATGTTGCTCGTTCAGGGAATGGCGTCTTGTTGTGCCAGAAATAAATCATCGTCCATTTACTGTTTGAGTAAGCCACATTTGGCTTACATTCTCGGCTGGTTAGAGAAGACGGGGTGATTTCCCCAAGGGTAATATTTTCTTACAGTCTGGTTAAATAGTTGTAAATTATGGTAAAAATTATACAGTACAGATCGACGCTGATAAATACACGGTTATTTGTAAAACCTTTTTTACATGTTAAATTCCAGAGGGATTTTTTTTTTTTTTTACGCAGTGAAAGTATAAAAGTCTGGCAATAATTGTTATTGCCAGTTGTACTGATAGAGATCACATTCTTCACTGAGATCAAATCACTGACTTCACCATTACACGGAAGTGAGGCAAGACTATTTTCTGTCTTTGATGCTACTTAAATACACCTAAAATATCATAGTACAGTGAAGCGTTAGAAAGCAACATGTCCGGCGCGCTAGCTCAGTTGGTTAAACCAGCTGCGCGGCGAACGGGTGACAAACTTCTTGTGGTCTGAGTTAGCTCTCAGGGGTAGGCAGAAAAGCCACATATTTTCAGACTTACAGTGCCTATCATGGAATCAAGGCCGAATTGTTGCGATATCCATAGCACAGAGCTAAAGTTGTATGTTGCTACAGGAAAGATGGGAGACAGCAAACTTCTTGTGGTCTGAGTTCGCTCTCAGGAGTAGGCAGAAAAGCCGCATATTTTCAGACTTACAGTGCCTATCATGGAATCAAGGCCGAATTGTTGCGATATCCATAGCACAGAGCCAAAGTTGTATGTTGCTACAGGAAAGATGGGAGACAGTCCACGACTCACATCCGTATGTTGCTACAGGAAAGATGGGAGACAGTCCACGACTGACATCCGTATGTTGCTACAGGAAAGATGGTAGATATTCCACGACTCACATCCGCATGTTGCTACAGGAAAGATGGGAGACAGTCCACGACTCACATCCGTATGTTGCTACAGGAAAGATGGGAGACAGTCCACGACTCACATCCGCATGTTGCTACAGGAAAGATGAGAGACAGTCCACGACTCACATCCGTATGTTGCTACAGGAAAGATGGGAGACAGTCCACGACTCACATCCGTATGTTGCTACAGGAAAGATGGGAGACAGTCCACGACTCACATCCGCATGTTGCCACACGAAAGATGGGAGATAGTCCAAGAATCACATCCTATGTTGCTACAGGAAAGATGGGAGACAGTCCACGACTCACATCCGCATGTTGCTACAGGAAAGATGGGAGACAGTCCACGACTCACATCCGTATGTTGCTAACAGATGTAACGATCACAATCCGTATGTTGCTACAGGAAAGATGAGAGACAGTCCACGACTCACATCCGCATGTTGCTACAGGAAAGATGGGAGACAGTCCACACGACTCACATCCGCATGTGCCACACGAAAGATGGGGAGGTCCACGACTCACATCCCATGTCCACAGGAAGATGGGAGACAGTCCACGAATCACCATGTTGTTGCTACAGGAAAGTTGGGACACAGTTCACGACACACATCCGCATGTTGCTACAGGGAAGATGGAAGACGGTTCACGACTCACATCAGCATATGCCACACGGAAGATGGGAGATAGTCCACGACTCACATCCGCATGTTGTTACAGGAAAGGGGAAGTTGCATACCGTTGTCAACATTTGAAAGATGTGATTTCATCTGCAAGTGCCACGGACATATGTGATGACGGTTCACGACTCACCTTTTGCGGGCAGGAGACTGTTGTTGCCCACGACGGAAAAATGGGAGATAGTCCACGACTCACATCCGTATGTGTTGCTGGAAGATGGGAGATAGTCGCTCGGGTATGAGTTGCATACTTTCAGCCAAGACATATATGAACCTTTGCCGGGCAGAGACTGTTGCTGGCGCTCGGGTATGAGAGCTACATTCAGCCAAGAAATCATTGCATAATGAGAATGACACCGGTACTGATGAGCTTTATGTGTGCATTTAGCCTCGTGATGTTGTCTGTGTGTTGTGTGTGGGTTGTGATGTTGTGTGTGTGTTGTGTGTGGGTTGTGATGTTGTGTGTGTGTTGTGTGTGGGTTGTGATGTTGTGTGTGTCGTGATGTTGTCTGTGTGTTGTATGTGGATTTTGATGTTGTGTGTGTCGTGATGTTGTCTGTGTGTTGTGTGTGGATTGTGATGTTGTCGTGATGTTGTCTGTGTGTTGTGTGTGGGTTGTAATATTGTGTGTGTGTTGTGTCTGGGTTGTGATGTTGTATGTGTCGTAATGTTGTCTGTGTGTTGTGTATGGATTGTGATGTTGTGTGTGTGTTGTGTCTGGGTTGTGATGTTGTATGTGTCGTGATGTTGTCCTCGCCAGTACACTTGATGTATGTCTTATATTTCTCTGTTTGGTTTCAGTTCTCCCCAAACAAGCTAACGGGACCGAGCTCTACCAAGTTGAGCAATGGGATGATGAACATACCACTGTACGCCGACTCCAAGGTGAAATCCCGGCGCTCTACAAGGGACGACAAGGTGAGCCGATGTTTTTACTGTTGGAAAATCAGTTGCCGATCACTCAGTCAGTCAAGTGATCAATCAGCTGAGCTAAGAGAACTTTTGATCTTTTAAGGATTCCGGAGGACTGCTGATTAATTGCAAGTTTACAGATGATTCGCCTTGTCCTCAATCAATCACACTATCCAATCACACCAACCGATATACCAAACAATCACATCAACCAATCACACCTAAAAATCACACCAACCAATCACACCAAACAATCACATCAACCAATCACACCTAACAATCACACCAACCAATCACACCAAACAATCACACCAACCAATCACACCAAACAATCACACCAAACAATCACACCAAACAATCACACCAAACAATCACACCAAACAATCACACCAAACAATCACACCAAACAATCACACCTAACAATCACATCAACCAATCACACCTAACAATCACATCAATCAATCACACCAAACAATCACACCAACCAATCACACCAAACAATCACACCAAACAATCACACCAAACAATCACACCAAACAATCACACCAAACAATCACACCAAACAATCACACCAACCAATCACACCTAACAATCACACCAACCAATCACACCTAACAATCACACCAACCAATCACACCAAACAATCACACCAACCAATCACACCAAACAATCATATCAATGAATCACACTAACCAATCACACTAAACAATCACACCAACCAATCACACCAAACAATCATATCAATGAATCACACTAAACAATCACACCAACAATCGCAAGAACCAGTCACACCGACTAATCACACCAACCAATCACACCAAACAATCACACCAAACAATCACACCTAACAATCACATCAACCAATCACACCTAACAATTACATCAACCAATCACACATAACAATCACACCAAACAATCACACCAACCAATCACACCAACCAATCACACCAACCAATCACACCAACCAATCACATCAAACAATCACACCAAACCAATCACATCAACCAATCACACCAACCATTCACACCAAGCAATCACACTTTTACAATGTTTAGTACACTTTGCATGTCTCAGCTATTGCAACTGATCCACGACGTGTTAAGGTATTTCATGTGTGTGTTTTCACTTTGTCTCCAGGCCCAGTTTAGCGAGATCAAGAAGCCGACTGAAGATACAGTTAGTCAGACCAGCGGGGACACAGACCCAAGTGATAGTGGTCGGGGAGGTAGTGAGGACGACAGCAGCCATAGGGGATCAGGGTTGGATCCTGGTTAGTTTATGTGTTTGTTGTTTATAGACAAAATCTAACCGGGGATTTTACGTGTATTTTTGCTTTCTATCGTTGTGTGTGTGTGTGTGGGGGGGGGGGGGTTTTGCGTGCGTGCGTGTGTGTGTGCGAGTGTGTGCGTGTGAGTGTGTGTGTGGAATATTTTGTCTCTGCATTGTTACGTTAATGTGATATCTTCAGAAACCCTGTTGTTTTATTGCTTCCTTTAACATTTTGCTAGCTGTGGTTAAGTTCGAGTCCCTGTGATCTATACAGTGTCATAGAACTTTATTGTTTTATATTTCCAATTTTGTGTCTGAAGTATTTTTCACAATCCTTAGATTTCGCTTGTTTGTGTAAATGTTTCCAATCGGATTGTTGCTGATTGTTGTGTATTTATGCTTTCTTTCTTTCTCTCTGGCGGTTGTTTTTCTAATTTAGTCTGTCTTACATCTTGCTTTTTTGAAAATTCTTACGTATAATGTCAGTGTGTTGCGTTTCTCTTTTTATTTCTTCTTCTACTGTCTTCTTCTTCTCGTCGTCTTGTCCTTCTCCTTCTTCTTGTTCTTCTTCTTGTTCTTGTTCTTCTTGTTCTTGTTCTTCTTGTTCTTGTTCTTGTTCTTCTTGTTCTTCTTCTTCTTCTTTTTCTTTTTTTCTTGTTCATTTTCTTCTTCTTTCTCTCTCTCTTTCTCTCTCTCTCTCTCTCTCTCTTTTTTTTCTCTCTCTCTCTCTCTCTCTCTCTCTCACTTTCTTTGTCTAACTCACTCACCCTCCTTCTCTGGCTAACTCATGTTTCTATTGACTCTACCCCTGTGGTTTTTATCCGTGTCTCCGTAGAACACTTGTATCAAATTCCTATTTATAAAAGTTGGTGATAGTCTCCTCGCTCTCCCAACCTCATTCTCATTTGTATGCCATTTTTCAGCCATAATTATTCCACCAATTTATCCTGTCAGTTGTTGCAATGAATTGACGACGTCTGTTAGACACAGCCACTTTACAATGAACCAGCAATTTGAACGTCGGTTTCAATCAAACATTGATAAGTCTCATTGAACGACAAACAAGTCTCAGGCACTAATGGCTCTCACTTATTAAAGTGCCTTTTCACTAGAAGCGCACAATTATCTCTGTCCTCATCGTTCCTCGACCGCTGCTGTTGATTAATTTATGCCTTAATATCTGGCCATGCAAAGGCCCCAGGTTGTCCAGCATCATTTCTTTCTTGTCCTGTTTTCATCTGTTTTATATTTGCTTCCATCTGTTTTATATTTGTTTTCATCTGTTTTATATTTGTTTTCATCTGTTTTATATTTGTTTCCGTCTGTTTTATATTTGTTTCCATCTGACGTGAACTTGGCTGGCGCTGCCATGTCACAGCAACACAGTATTGACTACTATAATGTTTTACAACACTGCTCTTAGTGTTTCTTCTTCTTCCTACTTCATCTCTTTGTCTTACTTTATGTGGGCAAGTTTACCCTCCCTCCTTCTCTCCTTCTGGCTATTTCTCTTTGAAAGTGTGAATGTTTCTGTTTGTCTGCGTGTGAGTGTACGTGTGTCTGTGCACGTGTCTCTGTGTGAATGTGTGTGTGAATATGTGTGTGTGTGTGTCTCTGTGTGAATGTGTGTTTGAATGTTATGTATCTGTGAATGTGTATATATATCATAACAGACTTTAGTGTGTAGATTTACTTTTTGTTTTAAAAATATGACATCCGGTCAAGATGGCGTGACAAGTGGGCACCACATAGATGAATGTTATACAGATTACGTGACAAGTGGGCACCACATAGATGAATGTTATACAGATTACGTGACAAGTGGGCACCACAGAGAGCAATGTTACACAGACGGTGTGACAAGTGGGCACCACAGAGAGCAATGTTAAACAGACGGTGTGACAAGTGGGCACCACAGAGAGCAATGTTATACAGATGGCGTGACAAGTGGGCACCACAGAGAGCAATGTTTTACAGATGGCGTGACAAGTGGACACCATAGAGAGCAATGTTTTACAGATGGCGCGACAAGTGGACACCACAGAGAGCAATGTTTTACAGATGGCGTGACAAGTGGACACCGCAGAGAGCAATGTTTTACAGACGGTGTGACAAGTGGGCACCACAGAGAGCAATGTTTTACAGATGGCGTGACAAGTGGGCACCACAAAGAGCAATGTTTTACAGATGGCGTGACAAGTGGGCACCACAGAGAGCAATGTTTTACTGATGGCGTGACAAGTGGACACCATAGAGAGCAATGTTTTACAGATGGCGTGACAAGTGAAGACCACAGAGAGCAATGTTTTACAGATGGCGTGACAAGTGGACACCACAGAGAGCAATGTTATACAGATGGCGTGACAAGTGGGCACCACAGAGAGCAATGTTTTACATATGTCGTGACAAGTGGACACCATAGAGAGCAATGTTTTACAGATGGCGTGACAAGTGGACACCACAGAGAGCAATGTTTTACAGATGGCGTGACAAGTGGACACCGCAGAGAGCAATGTTTTACAGATGGCGTGACAAGTGGACACCGCAGAGAGCAATGTTTTACAGATGGCGTGACAAGTGGACACCGCAGAGAGCAATGTTATATAGATGGAGCAGTAACAGAGTCTGAGGTCGACCACACACAATTTGAACAGCAGGAATATCCGAGACACTGACAATAACTTTACACAAAGCGAAGAGAAGGACCCGTTCCACGTATTACTTCCTGCCCTGACGCTGCGAGGCATTCCAGGACTGGAGAACAGAAAAGGACCCGTTCCACGTATTACTTCCTGCCCTGACGCTGCGAGGCATTCCAGGACTGGAGAACAGGAAAGGACGATTAATAATATTGTTGTATATATAGCTAGATAAACGTATCATACTTGGTATATCACATAAAAACGTATCATACTTGGTATATCACATAAAAACGTATCATGCTTGGTACATCACATACAACTAACTACTTTGTGAAAGTTGAGTGACTGGAAGGCTCAACGTGAGGCATGACTGCATACTTTGTTTGTACGTTCTCCCCCCACCCTCTCTCTCTCTCTCTTTCTCTCTCTTTCTCCCCTCTCTCTCTCTGTCTCTCTCTCTGTCTCTCTTTCTCTCTCTTTTTCCATTTCTCCCTTGTTTCCTCCGTTTCTGTACCCCTGTTGATTCTAAAACTAAACTCTTCTCTGGATCCCAGTCTATATTCGCTGACCGCCTTTGATGTCTATTTGACAAATAAATCCTTTGATGTTTTCTGTGTGTGCACTTGACGTGTTTTCTTAACGTCATCTGCGCTTTCAACGTGCCACCACACATGCATTTATCAATCGTTATTGGGGTAGTCAGCGTTATCTGTTTCTGCTTCTTCACCTCCTCCTACTCCTCCTCCTCCTCCTACTCCTCCTCCTACTCCTCCTCCTTCTTCTACTGCAAACGATGCAGCAAAGTAAACATTGCAGATTCGGGCAGGGAGCTAACTGAATGTTTCCGGACACTTTAACCGAGCCCTCACCATTTTAACAGCTCTGAACACAGTGGCAAAGATAATATATCTATCACAGCATTACAATCTTGCTCTGGTGATCACACCACACGCCTCGCTTTGGAAAATCGCCTCATACAAAACCTGTATGTTCTTAGTCCATGTGGCATCTCTGTCCAGCATACCTTCATTGGAATATCATGAAGTTTTACTACTGTCACAATTTTTTTTTTTTTTTTTTACATAATTGTGATTTTTATTTTATTTTACCTAAAAAGTCTATGGTTAAGCACCAGCAAGGAGATCAAAATTATACTTTTGAGAGCATGCATCTTCCCTGGAGCAACTTAAGGATGTAAGTCGTGGACTATCTCACAGTCCTTAAAAAAAAAAATAGGGGCGTTTGAGCTGAAATGTTATAGAATATCTTGGACGAAAAAAGAGGAGAAATGCTGACATCTTAAAAGATCTTAACATCAAGCAAGATTGTCTAATAAACAGCATCCTTTCTCGGAAGCTGAAATATTTTGGTCATATCAAGCGCCACGACGGATTGGAACAAAAATATGGCAGAAGGCATGTTACCAGGAAGAAGGGGCAGGGGCCGACCAACACGAAGATGGGCACAGGATATAAGTGACTCCTTGAGTGTGAAAGTACATGAGGCGGGAGAACTGGCGAGAGACCGAGTTTCTTTCAGGAACACTGCGATGAGAGCGACGTTCTGCAAAGGACCTTCTACATGATGATGATTTTATTTTAATTTCACTTCATATTATTACTTGATTCTAATTCTTATCAGTGTCATTTATGGAACATTAACAGTTGTATTTCTTCTACTCTTTTATTCCTACTATTATATTATGTTATATTATATATTATATTATATTATATTATATTATATTATATTATATTATATTATATTATATTATATTATATTATATTATATTATATTATATTATATTATATTATATTATATTATATTATATTATATTATATTATATTATATTATATTATATTATATTATATATCAACAGTATTACTTTTTATTTTATTTTTGCGACTATTTTTCGAGCCTTTCTTTTTTTTATTTTTTTTTATTTCATTTAATCCACGTCAAATTTTTTTAAAGGTTCTCACGTGACCCCTTTTTGAAACTGTTGTGTAATCCCGTTTATGTCGAGAAAGGCACTGGCCGAAATGTCGATTTGTATTGTTTGTGCACGTTTTTCTGCTTTCCGACTTTGTTAAGCTTTTTTAGTCACACTTCACTCAAATAATTCCTAGATGAATAAAAATAATGTCTCCACTATTACACACTACCGGAGTATTGCAGACCACATCACCCATCTTGTGCCAGTTGGTCTATAAAAATATAGGACTAGCCCTATATGCCCTGTACGCCTAGAGGCGTGGAAAAGGGACCTTTACCTTTACTATTACACACTTACTCTAGACAATTGTCTATATATTCTCTAACCTTTGACCGTTGACTGTTTTGATCACCAGCCTTGTGCCCT